CTAAAAGGATTGCAAATAATAATCGTTTTTATATTTGGGAAGAGGAGATACGATTATTCGAGCCTTGCGGCTCGTTTTTATAGTTTCCGCTTGTCAACAACTATAAAAACGAGACGCAAGGCTCGAATAATAATCGTGTTTATAGTTGTTGACAAGCGGAAACTATAAAAACGAGCCGCAAGGCTCGAATAATCGTATCCCCTCTTCCCAAATCGTCCATTCTGATGCATAATCCGAGCGCGAATTCGGGAGAAATTGCTGCAATTACCTATCGCATCGATTCCACGAACAAGGCTACTTCCGCCAACCAGAACAAATCCAGTTGGCACCATCGACGAGCAACGACACCAAACACAGTGAACCGGAAGACCCGGACTGGCAGGCGCTGTACCAGCTGTTCTACCAGGAGGACCTCCAGGCTCTGACTCCGCAGCTGAAGAAGCTGTTCACGGTAGACGGGAACCGTTTGAAGCGGGAAACGCAGGAGCCGTGCAAGGAGGACCTGGAAAACTGCAAGACCGTGATGGAATCTATGAAGCAAATCGTGAACATCGTGAACAACAACATGGCCCACCTGCAGGGTATGCTGACGGCGAAAGGCGGCGACTCGAAGTCGCAGCTGTTCAAGCTGGTGAAGTGTTTGCAGTGCAAGAACGACTCGATCACGTTCATCGACGAGTCCGGCCCCGAGACGGACCCGGACGACCATCGAGACGACTACCATTATCAATCGGACCAGGCCCAGATGGAGCACAACGTGGACGTCGTGACCAGTTTGCTGAACGACCATAGCTCCAGCACCGATCGCATAAATCAGACAGTCGCTAGGCCATCCGCCGCCTCGATCTTCGACGTGGGCGACGACGCTCGCAGCGGTCGTCGGACGGCTGCGAAGCCGCTGCTGGGTCCAACGACCGTCGTAATTCAGGCATTGCCGACGGCCGCGGATGCGGAGGTGGTTCGCGAGACTGTGACAAAGCTGGATAGAATTAGGAAGGACGAGACGCCGGTTCAAGCGAACGGAATCGATGATGTGGAGCAGACCGTGGCTGCACGGAACGTGACCGGCGAGCCAGACGACGGTCGCGTGACGGAAATCGAGAACGAGCCGGTGCATCCTTCGGTGCATCCTTCGGACCAAGGCCACGCGGAACTGAACGCCGGGGAGGAAGCTGCAAACGGTAAATGCATTATTTATTACCGAACGGCGAAAGTGTCGCCTCGTTGCGCCCGGACACGTCCTCGCCGGGTCTTATCGGCGTTGTCGATGCTCGGACGGAGTGGCTAAGCTCTAGGGTGTTTCGCTGCTCCAACTAGCTTTTTATCAGTTTGTCATGGGATTCTGTTGGAAGACTTTATCGCAACTGGGATTTCGAAATGTTTCCTGGAACATGTTTGCGCGGGATATATTTTTTGAAATAGAAAACAAGTAGATGCACTTTCTAATTTAGTTACTTCGACGTGATCGTGAAGTTATAAATTAAATGTAATATCGAGGACATTTTGGACCGTCGCGAAAAATTATTTAGTTTTATTTTAAATAACCTGTGGAACTAAAACGAATTCTGCTAAATTTTCAACTCAATCGATGCAAATTAATAAAAACTTCGTAATTACGGTAAATAAATTCACGCTGCTATGTTAGTGCCATGGTTTTTACTCAATTGCCATTGCCCCTATAATTTCAAATTAATCAATTGATCAAATTAATCAATTAATCTTATCTGCCTAGCTGAATTTAAGTAAATAATGATAGTGTGTTTCGCTGCTCCAACTAGCTTTTTATCAATTTGTCATGGGATTCTGTTGGAAGACTTTATCGCAACTGGGATTTCGAAATGTTTCCTGGAACATGTTTGCGCGGGATATATTTTTTGAAATAGAAAACAAGTAGATGCACTTTCTAATTTAGTTACTTCGACGTGATCGTGAAGTTATAAATTAAATGTAATATCGAGGACATTTTGGACCGTCGCGAAATTATTTAGTTTTATTTTAAATAACTTGTGGAACTAAAACGAATTCTGCTAAATTTTCAACTCAATCGATACGAATTAATAAAAACTTCGTAATTACGGTAAATAAATTCACGCTGCTATGTTAGTGCCATGGTTTTTACTCAATTGCCATTGCCCCCGTCTTAAAAAACGTCCCGAATTGGACCTCATTTTCACGTCTCAAATATGTCTTCAATGCATTTTTTTATGTCTCCGATGTTTTTTTAAATAAATCGGTCAAGTACTTTTGAATACAACTTTTTGATATGAACGAGTGAACCAGGATATGAAAATGATGATGTGAATTTTTTACCGCTTTTTATATTAATTGGTATCCCAAGAGCGTACCGACGAGCATTTAGCACAATAGCAATTACCAATAAATTCGAGTCCTGTGCTTTTCTCTGGAAATCGCGCGAGCGACGGCGGATAACGTAGTGGGCCAGATATGTGACCTATTTATTCCTACAGTATTGTTCTCCTACGGCGTGCTTTCAGCTTCTTTAGAATTCTACTGAATGGAACTATACATAGAAGTAATTTGTTCTCCCTTTCTTGACCTTTTCGGTATAGCCATGAAATTTCACGTTTTTTGCGCCGAAACAATTCATTTCAAATGTGCACTGTAAATAAATTTGTTAGCCATATTATTTGGATATTTTTAAAGAGATTAAATAAAGTGTAGCATACATACAAAACAATTTTTTTAAATAAAAATTCTTATTTTACACTGATCAAATGTATAAAAGATTTATATACAACTATATATTTTCCACAAATTATTCTAATTTCTTTTCAAACAAGAGTTAATCTCTTCAATCTGTTGTTACAGAATACTCTTCTATTTTCTATATACACTGTGCCACGAAAGTATTTGAATGCCTTAAAACGGAATAAGTTTCGTCTTAAAGACTTCCATTTTACGTCCATTTTAGGTCTGAACGTCTTACTTCTACGGTTAGAAGTCGTAAGCATTGTGACCAATGTTTTTCAAATTTTTTATAATTGGGATCCAAACTAAAAAAGAATAAAAAACGAAGTTATCAACGTTTCTTTAATTTTATAAAGATATGTTATGTAATTTAAACATTTCTATATCCAAACAAACATTGCACGAACTTAAAAATTCAATACCTAAGGAAAAAGTTGCTTCAAATGACTTCAGGAATCACCGCTTTCCAGATGTTAACATAATTATGGGACACCCTGTATAAACTGTTTGACCTCAAAACCGAGCATCATTGGATAGTTTATAACAAATTTAGAACTGAAAAAAAGAACTGATAATGATAAATTTGTTTAATTGTTATGTAATTATTAATTCTCGTCTACAAAACAATTAAACAAATTTATCATTATCATCATATATATATATATAAATAAATAAAAATAAATAAAAAATATATAAAATATGTAAATATATATAAAATATTGTACGAATAAATAAATTATATATATATAAGAGTCGAGTAAAAACAGCTCGGCACGGAACGCGTTAACAAATTGAACATTAACCCCTTGACACAAGATTTTCTTCGCAGTTGCTGTGATTAGAAATTTTTCGATCGCAATAATTTCTTAGAAGGGAAAGAAAGTTATTTCGTGCGTATCGTGTGCCTAAATTTACTTGAATGCTTAAATATCGATGACAAGGGACTAGAATTTTATTCCAATTTTAAAGTACAGAACACAACAACTCGATAAGTTATTATTGGAACTTTTCATGACGAGTCGGACTCGTCGAAGTACGTCGACGGGGTTAAATATCTCAAAAACTATAAGCCGTCTGACCCTAAAACCGGATATCATTGGATTCAGCTTTTCAAGTTCTGTCACTTTGCACGATCTCGTCAAAAAGTGAGCGTCGTGCTTGTAATCATTCCCTTGTAATACCTATCCAATATCTTCTTTCAAACCCAGAAATCATCTTTCAGCCCGAAAAAGTCAGACACCCTCGCCAGACACCCGAAGACCGTCGAAGGGCAGGATCATCGCCATCGATGATTATCAAAGCAAAGGTTTCGCAAACTTTCACACGTCGGAGACAATGAAATCGACGCAGCAGCTGCAATTATTGCCGACGATGTCATGGATGCCGTATCAAGTCTGCTTCTACGGGCCGCCAGCGAACGGTGGGCCTGGGAAACAGTTCCCACCAACTCAGATGATGTACCCACCGACGCCCCCAACTGCTCCATATTCGATGCCAGTGATCCAGCAACGAATGGGACCACAGAATTCTGGCCAGGCGCCGAATTTCGTGCAAGTGCACGCGCAATCGGTGCAATTTATGCAGCCTGGCGCTGGGAATCAGAGAGTGGGGCCGACTGGGCCTGCGGGGCCCAATTTCCCGATGTTCCCAGGCCAGATGCAGCCCAGTGCTACAGCCAGAGGAAACGAGAAGGCTCCTTATTACTGCACTTACATTCCTGCGCCGACTTTCCAGTTCCCTGCCATTCCTGGTGTCTCGGAGTATCAGAGGTCTTCCGATGGTTTCAAGGAGGATAGGATGGAAGGGGATAGTGTGGAGAATGAGATTGACCGTCGCAAGTCATCGATGCGTGGTGAGGATTTTTTCTTTTTTGTACTGGAGGCTGTAGAGGTGAAGAGAGCTATCGGTAGTTTTTGATAGTTTACGAAAACTATCTTCCGATAGTACTATCTTTAGAAATACAGTAAATCCTCCTTAATTGGCCTGCGGCTTGTAATCAAAAGTGGACAATTTGGGAAGAGGAGATACGATTATTCGAGTCTTGCGTCTCGTTTTTATAGTATTTGACAATCGGTAGCTGTAATAACGAAACGCAAGGCTCGAATAAGTAGCAAATTGTCCATTTTTGTGCGCAATCTGAGTGCGAATTAGAGAGAAATTACAATATTTCTATAAGAAAGAATTATACAGTAAATCCTCCCTAATTGGCCTGCGGCTTGTAATCAAAAGTGGACAATTTGGGAAGAGGAGGTACGATTATTCGAGTCTTGCGTCTCGTTTTTATAGTATTTGACAATCGGTAGCTGTAATAACGAAACGCAAGGCTCGAATAAGTACCAAATTGTCCATTTTTGTGCGCAATCTGAGTGCGAATTAGAGAGAAATTACAATATTTCTATAAGAAAGAATTATACAGTAAATTTTCCCTAATTGACCCTCAGCTTGTGCAAAAAAGAAATGGACAACTTTGTTTAGTTCTTCAGCACAGTGTGATACTACGACAACCTAGAAAGATTTAATTCCAAAATTTATGAATATTATATTTTATGTTTCTACATTGAAAAACATGATTTTTGTATTTTGTTCATCTTTATTTGCAGTGCGCTCTTTTAAAGTTTTGAACAAGTTCAAGGCAAAAAGACATGAAACCATTGTCAGAAATTGAAAAAATTAATTTCCGCATTCTATTGGACTTAGGAAGTTAAAATTTCGATTGTATTGTGAAAATTGCTGGTCAAATTTTATTTGAGAAATTCAATATTTTTAATTCGATCATGTACTTTTTCAATATAAGTAAAATTATTGTGAGGGCACAGTAACTGAGGGGGTTCAGTGATTGATACACTTACCCTATAATATAAAGTTTCGAAGACACAACAATTTGATGATACCAAAGAGTTTGAATAATATAAAAGCTATATGTTATATTTTTTTTACAGTATAATAAAAATATAATAATAAAGTGCAATATAATACAAGTACAATAATAGAATACAATACAACAAAAATACAACAATCGAGTACAATGTAGTAAAAATTGCAATTGTCTTTACAAATTACGACAACAATCACTGGTTTCTATTTTAAAAAATAGGGGTGCCAACATTTTTTGTCTTCAGCCTTGATCACCTGTCGAATACTATTAATTCAGCTTTGCTAAATATTATCTTCGACTCTATTTTTTTCAAAAGTTCAAGAAAGGGTTTAAGTCATTTCCATTGAATTATAAATGGTAGAAGTATTTAAATAAATATATTATGAAACTGATATAAAATTATCTAACTATTCTAAGAAATAAGTTCATTTAAATTACCTTCCAATATATTTTCTACCCCAATCGAAACTATCGATAGTGAAAAAAAGTCGATAGCTTTCGATTGCAAAAACTATAATACCATCGATAGTTCTCTATCTTTATCTTGCAAATTCAAAATTTTGGAGATTGGCATTGGAATTGTTTGGAAATTTTGATTATGTGGTGGCAGATCACAAGACAATTTGTCCATTTAATACTTTACGATGCAACGACGGGAAGAGATGCATTTTGAGATCAGAATGGTGCGACGGACAAGTGGACTGCAACGATGCAAGCGACGAGACATCCTGCTCTTGCAGGGATCGGATTTCGAAGGAGAGATTATGCGATGGGTACTTCGATTGTCCGCATGGAGAGGACGAATTGGGATGCTTGGGTAAATCTGCAGAATTTAATTTATTCTAATTTATTCATGTTAATTATTCCAATTTATGTAAATTAGAATTTTTATACTCGATCTTGTGAACACTAAAATAAGAATTGGTGAACTTTTAAGATGCAAAAGTATGGAACCTGTAGAATTGAATTATATAAATATAGAACTCGATGCTTTCGGAATCAAAAATTGTTTAAAATAGTCTAGAAATAATATTAAATATTCTAGCTAGAGTAATTTTACTATAGCTTGAACAGTGGCTTTGAACGAGGTATAGAATTCTGCCTCATCGACTGAGTAGCGGGTAACAACTTCAATCGCGAGCAACTATAATGTAAAATAAGGCCATATTAAATAATTCAATAATCAGATCTGTGATGCAAAAAGTCACAAACAAGAAAAAGTGGAAACTAAATTTTTGTATAGATTCAATGTGATCAAGTTTTACGTGGTTTGTGCAAGATGGCACTAGGTACTACATTTTGCGTTGACGTCGAGAACTTCTTTATCCACACTGAACACTTACTTTGCCAATTAAGTCTAAAAATAAACATCCTCACGAGATTGCCAATAAATGTTAGCTAGTTGAAGAAAATGAAAATAGATTATCTTGCGCGTTGAGATATTTGAATAGCTACACTGTCCAACAAATTTTAACTTTCCTTAGATTTTCTAATCATTCCTCTATTTATCGAGACCAACCGGACCTCCTTAACGCCTTTATTTTTTACCTAATATCTTATTTTTGTTCAGAATACAACAGTTTTACAAATATTAAATTTTTTTTGAAAGCTTAGAGTGATAGAACAATTTCTTTCGAGAGCAATCGGTCTGAATTTAAATACTTAACGTTTTTCTTTTTCACGTAGTATCTTATTTTTCATCAAAATTGGTCGTCTTTACAAAAATTCGAATTTTTCGAAAACTGAGGACGATAAAGCGATTTCGTTTTCGGATTCGTATTTGAATTATTGGAATTATAGAAAAATGAGCTATATAATGGAGAGCTATTATATATAAATATAAAATAATAATTATAATATATAAAATACCAGAGAGAATATTCCAAATTCTGCTTGCTTATTTTCATTGATTTGTGTATTTGTTTCTCAGGTTGCTCGAAAACATTGTTTAGTTGCAACGACTGGCGATCACGATTCAGTCGTGATAATTGCGTTCCTCTTTCTCAGCGCTGCGACGGTATTAAACAATGCCCGAATGGAAAAGACGAAGTGGACTGTAACATACTCACACCCTCATTCACAGAAGGAAAAAGCGTAAATAGCAATTCATAAATTACTTTACGAATAATTTCTGATTGCTGTTAATTCAATATTAAATTATCAGCTGTTCACAATTGGGTATACCGAAGGATATCTCCATAAGAACTACATGGGCCAGTGGTACCCTGTCTGCTCACCGACGAATTTGTGGACGAAGGATGCTTGCAATTCTGAGATCGGATCGGAACTAGAGTATGTTCAGTCACAGATATCAGAGATCAAACAATTTTAATCTTCACTTTTCTGAACCTAGGACTTTCTAATTAAATTCGTTCTTGTAATCAATCTTCTAAAATTTGCCTCCTTTTATAATTATTTTTATATAGGGTTGTGTTAAGGTTATTTATATTATCATTACATTGTATTTATATTATTTATATATATTAATATATATATTATATATATTATCTATATCTATATCTATATCTATATCTATATCTACATATATATATATATCAATATTTACATTTATATTATTATTATATCGAGATCTGCCATCTAAGTTACTGGAAGACCGATTCTTCTAGTCTCCGAAACAAGGCTGGGCCAAATTATTGAATGATTTAAAACCAGTTGCTACTTCGTATTCCATATATTCATACAGGGTGTTTGACAAGAACGATTCGAGATTTTAAGGATTTATCTGACATCGTTACTTTAACGTTAAATATTTTAAAAACTATAAACCATCTGCACCGGAAACCAGGTATAATTAGACTCAGTTGTACGAGCACTGTGCAAAATCTCATCAAAAAGTGGGCGCCACGCCTGGGCACCTCTTCCTGTTAGATCCTAAAAGTCGATTTTCTATCGAAACGATTGATTTTTCGACCCATTTTAATTGGTCATATTTTTTTACTCTTCTCTGTGAATACTATAAATCCATGTTCGATCCGAATCCAAATCCGATGTTCGAAAAGCGCCATAAAATAATAATGAATTTCCATTTCCGTTGCAGCGAAGCGCCAAAGATATATATGCAAACGGTACCAGCGAACGTCTACCAGGGCCTATACGTCGCAGAAATGGGCAACGAAACGAAGCTGATTCCATCGTGCTTGAACAGCGCGACGTATGTGCGTTGTCCTCGGTTCCCTTGTGGTACCAGGGTATCCACGACTCAGGATCTACTGCTGCCCGATATCCTGGCAAACGGGCGAACTGGCGAACAGGATAATGTTGATGACATACTGGGTTCGGCGCGTGTTGTAGGCGGACGAGCGAGCAACCCGAACGCGTGGCCATTTTTGGTGGCCATTTACAAAAATGGCCACTTTTACTGCGGCGGGGTCATTTTGAGCGAACTGTGGGTCCTCACCGCTGCTCATTGCCTCGACGAGTAAGCAATTGAAAAGTCCCATTTTGCTTGAAATTTTCTTCTAAAATGACAGATCATTTCAAACAGCCGTTTTGTGTAAAATTTCGAGCAACGTTCGAAACGCAATATTTTTTTTTCAGACTGCACTAAATGACAGGAATTTTTTGTTCGGACGATAGAAGGACTGTAGCTTACTGGACGATTTTTCTAAATTTTGCTATTACTTGAAGTGAGGGAAAAGATTTTTTGCCACTTCAAGTGACGAAAACATTTAAAACATTTTTTGTCTGAGCCTGAAACGAAAATTTCGAAAAATTTTGTTCTGTAGATCTCGGTAACGTGTAAGCATTATGAACATTTCATGGTCAAGCTGCAGCCACTGAAAGGTGGTTGCAAGAAACCGATTTTTCATGATCTTTAATTGTTTGTAACTCAAGTAAACATAAATCGATTTCGATGGAATTTTCAATATGCATATAATCAAACAGTGGATCTTTATGCAAATGCATATTTTTGTAGGATATAGGTAAATTGGTGGAAGTTGGAGTAATTTGTTTTGACATTACAGGATTCTAAAAATATTGTTTTCGTTTTGCATATTTTGCAAATTTTGTTTTACATGTGTTTTACATATTACATATTTTGCATATTTTTTTATATAATTCTCGATGTACATAAAACTATAAACAACAATTGTGTGATACGATTTTCTCACAAGGCAGTATGTAATTGAAAATGAAAGGACTACCATTGCATGAATCAGTAAAAATTAGTTCGCCACAATGATCAAGAACTATACTTATAATTGATGACAATTAGTGACTATAGAAAGCGAGCCGCAAGGCTCGAATAATCGTACCTCCTCTTCCCGAATTGTCCATTTTTGCTGTACAATCTCTGCGTCAATTAGGGAATTTACTGTATCTGTCACAATTGTTGTACAGTAATGTCTCCCTAATTGTCGCCCAAATTGTGCAAAAGAATGGACAATTTGGGAAGAGGAGAATCGATTATCCGAGTGTTGCAGCTCGTTTTTATAATTGTTGACGATCGGTAACTATAAAAATTAACTGCAAGGCCCGAATAATCGCCTCTACTCCCAAATTGTCCATTTTTGCTGTAGAAACTCTGCGTCAATTAGGAAGAATTTACTGCATCTGTCACAATTGATGTATTAGAAAATTATGAATTTCCTAATACATAATTATGAAATTATGAACATTTACGAAATGCAGGTATACTGGGCATTATTTCGAGATCCAAGCAGGCTTGCTGCGTCAATTCTCGTTCTCCCCAATGGCACAGACGAGGAAAGCAAGATACACCATTATTCACCCACACTTTATCAAGCAGGATTTGAACAACGATATTGCAATGATCAAGCTGGACGATCCTCTGAGATTCAACCGATGGGTACGACCTGTCTGTTTGCCGGACGTGGACCTTTTGGGTGCTATGTGGAGGCAGAAACCGGATGTGAACACTACCTGCATTGCGATCGGTTGGGGAGCTATCAAGGAAAATGGACCGGATCGTGAGATTATTTTTTATTTACTAGTGAATATCGCTATGGAAACTATTGGGTTTGGCAACTTAGTAATTGCCGACTTGTTCAATGAAATAAACAATTTTTGTTTACTTGGAATGAAGTTTAATCTGTAATGTATTTTCCATTTTGTTCGATGACCTTTTGCCATCTCTCTGACAACTTGAAAATTCCACGAAAATTCCACGATAGGGAGAAAAAAACATCAATGAAATTTAATCTAACTTGTTATATTGTCATAAATCTAACTTTTATTTATTCTGTGCCACACAGATTTTTGCGAAAAATTCAAACTGATATTTATATTTTTATAAACGCAACTCAAATTTAACAAAATAATCAACTATTTGCCGAGAGACAACAATGAGTGGACACGTAATAAATTACATTGTACAAATTGGGTCAGATAGATTCTGCAGGGTGTCCCAAAAGTTACATGGTGTCCATGTCGACACCTTTTTAAACTTTGACATTAATTTCTAGTTACTTAGGACCGAAAACAATTAATAAATTGTATGCCACTATACTCGGAAAACTTTTCTCTACCTTTTCAGACCGACTAGAACTTTCTAACGTTTTTATTCTTCATGCAATACCTCATTTTTGTCGAAAATTTTGGCTTTCTACAAAAGTTCGTTTTTTCTTTCAAAAACTGAGGGTGGTGGAGCATTTCGGTTTTCGGATTCTTGTTCGAGGAGTGAAGCTCTACAAGAATTTCATAGCGGCTGTAGGAAATCAAATATCGTGTCGGACAGTGTTATCTGTCCGACCGTAATCTCTTCCGGTGTTTCTGTTCTGGATTGAGCCCATCTGTTCGGCTGCAGTAGCGGTAGGGAACTCTTGGAACAGAAGTCACGCGTTCTCTTCCAGGTAGCCCGGCGTTATCCCGTCGCGCCGGTTCTTATTGCTTCCTGGTGTCGCGTGTCAATTCGCGTGCCAGTTCGTTTCTCACGTCGTCTATCCACGAACGGACATTCCTATCTTATCATTAGTATCGTGTTCGGCCGTGAACCCTGCACAATTGTGATTATTTTATTTTTTATGAAATCTTATTGTAATATTTAGAATATTTTTATTATTGTTTGTGGCGCTAATTTGGAATTTAATGGACAGGGCTGCCAGAACCACGAGACGTGACAAAGCTCAACTATATTTTCTTAGATGAAATCACATATATGTTTTTATGTATCAATTCATGCAGCTCGTTTTTTCCCGTACAAAAGTACTGAGCCACTCGTCGTGACAAATTATTGGCTTACATTATATGTTAGTTTCAGTATTTGATAATAACAGTAGTACTTTGTTGATGTATTATGACTAGACCGCGGATCTTTATACAAAATAAGAACTGTTTGCATCTGTTGTAACAAAACTACGAGCAACTTAAAAGTTGCATTATTTCATTAATAATTTTGGAAGGCCGAAAGTAACGTAGCGACATTATTAAATGTTTTTAATGTTTCAATTGTTTGTCGTTTGATATACTCATTTTTATTATAAATGCATGAAATCCGTAGTCTAATTACGACTTATGTATGCATAGTCCTCGCGGGACAAGGAGGCACCTTTGGGCTTGCATTCCCCCTCTTACTAGCTGTCCCACTGCTAGTGGAGGGGGAGCTGGTAAGAGAGGGAATGTAAATCCGAAGATGCCTTCTTGTCGCGCGAGGACTATACCTTCCCGAAATTTCTTTTTGTAGTGCCCACAGTATTCGCATTTAATAATTGACATTAATTAATACTGATATTTTAATAATGAGATGTGAAGAGAAATGCGCGTCCGATTACCTGAAGATCAAACTAATATTTGGAAAAACACGATAGGAAGAAAATGCACCCTGTTGGCTTACTTCCATATCGAAATTCAAATAATTTCTAAATCAATAATTTCTCATAATAGATGGTTTATAGTACTTTTGCGTGGAAAATAACGAGCTGCATCGATCGGTACATAAAAAGGTATGCGATTTCATTTGAGAAAATAAGGACGTCCTTGGTGTGTCCTCTGCACGTCCGAAAAACTTGCCTATATCAGATTATGTGCCCCCCTCCCCCGAACCATCAAACTTTTCTCTGCAACATTATTTCATATCATCAATAATTTCGGCGACATTCAGCTAGATTGAATTAAATGGGACACTTCGAATGATAATTTAACCATCGAATGATTTATAATAATTTTACTGAACAGTCCTATCCAGGATTTTTAGACGAATGATTGAATGATGAATGATGAATGATTCCTAATGTAAGTTTGTCGATGATCTTCAAAATTTAAATCGAACAATTTTTCTTCTAAAGGGTCAAAAGACACCTCGAAAGTTGTAATCGAGAATGATTTTCCATGTACAATCAATTTACAACTTTGTTTTTGTAATGATTATAATATTAATATGTTAAAAGCGGGCATGCACATAACACCGGTGAAATTAGTATTAAATGACATGAGTACTTTTGATTTATAGCGGATCAATTGAGGGAAGTTGAGGTGCCAATACTGAAGAACTGCAAGTATGAAATTGACCAGCATGAAAATGTGATTTGTGCTGGTTATCCTGAGGGAGGCCGTGATGCCTGTCAAGGGGACAGTGGAGGTCCCTTGATGTGCAAGTAAGAATTAATAATCTATTTCTAAAAGTTGTTTTATATTTGCTCAGATAGCACAAATATGACTTACGGGCGTCTTAAAGGCGTTTCGAATGTCCTACAAACGTCCTATAAACGTCCTACAAACGTCTTCAGAACGTTTCACGTTTCAAAACTGGGTTAATAAGAGGGGGAATGTGTACATAAATATGCCTTCTCGTCACGCGAGGACTATACTATATAAGACAGAAAATATCCAAAAGCTGTGAAAAACATTTTCTAATAGATTTATCTGCCCAACTTTCCGGGCTTTTGCAATAAGGCTTTATATCAGATGTTTTCTCCGTGTGACTTGCAGAGTGACAAAAATTAATTTCGAGTGTTCGTTCTTTGAAGGAAGTTAATTCCAGTACTGCCTAGTACTGCTAGGCATTTTTGTACGAAACAGCTCTGCTACTGCGTGGCGTCAATAATTATGAAGCTCACTTTAACTACTCCGGTAGCACCTAGTAACAGCTAATTCGTTTTGCATGTTAAAGTCCATACTTTACCCTACATAATGATATCAATTGAATTACTGAATTTTACTAAATATGTCGTCAAAAGTAACGATGGAAATAAAAATATTAAATGATGGTATACAAATCAACAAAAATGATTGCCATAAAAATGAAATTTTGCACGATTAAAATACATGTCTGTTATTATTGAATTTTACTAAATGCGTCTTAAAAAATAACTATGAAAATAAAAATATTAAATGATGACATACAAATCAACAAAAATAATTGTTATAAGAATGAAATTTTGCACGATTAAAATACACGACTATTATACTTATTCTCGTCAGCAATTAGTTCACTTAACGAAACAATAGCATTCTAAATAATAATGTTATATTTCAGCCAGTTTTTGAGATGGGCTTCTTCCTAGCTGTGTCAGTAATTAATGAAAATGAAAAAAGAATGATATTCCGTTGTGAGCCAAATGTTCAATTAATTATCTGTATAGTCTCTTTTTTTTATTTTGAGGGCACTTATGAACCGTGACCTTTTCAAAGAAATCTAATTTATATCGTAAGACCTAAAATGGATATAAAATATTCGTCGCGCGTTATCTGGGTACATTTATATAAAAATTCGTATTAACAATTATTATTCTGCCTAACAAAATATGAAACCTAAGTCACAATGTTTTAGTCTAATATTCAGATTAAACGTGCAAAAAATTCTCTTTTCTCTGCGTATAGTAATTTTCACATTAAATAATTTTTCAGAAATCCGTACTCAGAATCGCAGTGGTATGTCGCAGGCATAATCAGTCACGGTGAAGGCTGTGCACGTCCATTTGAACCGGGTGTTTACACCAGAGTCAGCTACTTCCGGGAATGGATCCGAGAGATTTCCAGTGAGTCAATCAGTTCTTCAATTGAAAAGTAACCAGACGAAAATATGAAGCGGAAACGCGTGTCACATTTACTTTATTTAATCACGATATATCGTTATTGATATTTTGATATCGTTATTGTTCCATTGTAATTCTTTTTTGAAACCAAAGAGTATGGTAAAAGTACCTAAAGTGAGGGTTCCAATTGTCGAGATTGTCCGGCATTCCGTCACTTTCATTTCATTTAACGATAACCACGATAACACGACAAAGAATTGGGAACAACACAATTTTCGTATAACAAGAGATCGGTGCTATATGGTGGGTGTAACATCAATTCCCAACCAATATCCATCAATTTTTGCCGAGTGGAAAAAGACGTGTGCGGCCTAGCATTGTCCTGGTGGAAAATGACACCTTTACGATTGACCAATTCTGGTCGCTTTTCTTTGACCGCTGCATTCAATTTGTCCAGTTGCTAACATTCGCGGATAATAAAAAATAACATAATAATAATAATAATAATAATAATAATAATAATAATAATAATAATAATAATAATAATAATAATAATAATAATTTTGTAATATAACACTTACGGATATCATAAAAATGGGAGTGAGAGACATCTATAACTGAAATCGGCAATTACTTAGTTGCCAACCCAATGCTACCTTAGCTACAGGAATGATCGTTTTGTTTCCATTTCAGACGACGAAGGCCTGCCGCCTCTTAGGCGATCGCCTCTAACAAAGTGTCCAGGGTTCAGCTGTAAGGGGGGTCTAGGGAGATGTTTGCCAATAGAAATGCGTTGCAACGGTATGGTGGATTGTTTAGACGGCGAGGACGAACTCCACTGTCTCAAGACACAGAATTATCCGCCGAAAAGAAAGATGAACGATCCTGGCAGAGTTATGGAAAATGTGAAGCCTCTGGAAAACACTTCTACCACCTCTGAGAGCACTCTAACCAACGGTGAGGGAACTGATGCAAAATTTATCTATGCAATATTTATTTATTTATTATAAATTAATATTTATTTATTATATTTATTTATGCAATATTTATTCAATTTTATTGAATTTGATTATATTAAATTTCGTACTTATATTTAAACTCAGATTTCATTAAATTTACAATAATAATAATATAAAACAATATAAAATAATATAAAATAACATACAAATAAATTTCACCAAATTTATAGTAAAAATCTGTTACAATTAATAATCATAATTCAATTTTATTGAATTTGATTATATTAAATTTCGTACTTATATTTAAACTCAGATGTCATTAAATTTACAATAATAATAATATAAAACAATACAAAATAATATAAAATAA